TCGCGCGCGAGCACGCGTTCTCCCGCGAGCACCAGGTCCGCTGCGAGGAGCAGCTCAACGGCCTCCTCATCCCCGGCGGCGGCGGCCTCGACGAGGACGCCGCGTCGCCCCCGGCGAGCCCGTGAGGACGGTACAGGCGGGTAAGTTACAGATTTGCATATGATCAGGGGTCCGCGGGCGCAGTGCATTTCGCCTCCGCGCCCATGGGGTGCGCCACGGCGCAGAGCTCGTACGTGTTTTGCGCCATGGCCGGCAGGACCGCGTCTAGGGCGAGCTTTGTCGCCAGGAAGTTGTCGTTGACGGCCTCGATGCTCCGCTGCAGCGCGCCGAGGCGTCGCGCGCCGACGACCGCGACGCCGACGCCGATGGCTACGAGCGCGCACGCGCAGCAAGCGATGATCATGAGCAGGAAGAGCTGCGGGTTGAACTCGAGGCTCTTGCGCGGCGGCGGCCTATGAGTGCGAGAGTTTGGCGCATAAGAATCTTGGCGCGCATCTATCGATCGGACGCTGGGCTCTGCGGCGGAGGCGGCAGCGGTGGCACATCTGCGATCAAGGGGCGCGCGTCAACACCTTCAGGCACCTCCATCATCGTCCAGGCTTGTCTTAGTCGATGCAAATGGGTCCAGCACGCCAAGCTGCCGCTGCCAAGGGGTCCAGATCGAGGCGCGCAGTGAGCTGAATTACCACAGCATCTCCACAGCTCGCTGAAGTCAGGTTTGGCTTGTCAGTTCAAAGCCTGGACGCGGCCTTTGGCCGCACACGACGTTCGCGCGCCGGTGGGAGCGACGCGGACGCGGCGCTCGACGCCAGGAACCGCGCGAGGCGCTCGACGCCAGGAACCGCGCGAGGTAACCCAACTCGAGCAGGAGCCAAAGAGGCATTCGGGTCGGCCTCTGCCGCCTGCGACGTTCGGGTCGGCGTGCGCAAGACGACCACGATGGCGATGCCGCCGCCCCCGCCCGATCGCGACCTCAAGGAATTGATCGAGGCGAAGGAGCGCGAGCTCGCGGACCTCGGCGACTACCGGCTCGCGCAGCTCGAAGCGGGCGTGCGCGACCGGGACCGCCAGCTCGACCTCGCGGCGCAGCGCCTCGACAAGCTCAAGGAGGACTTCTCCTACAACCTGTCGCTCATCGCCGAGCGCGACGCGGAGCTCGCGACGCTCGAGGAGGAGCGCGGCCAGCTGCGCGACGCGGTCCGCGACCGCGACGACCGGTTGGAGGAGCTCCGGGGCGAGGTCGCGGACCGGGAGAAGGCGCTCGAGGGCGGCAACGAGAGCGCGGCGCAGCGCGAGGCCTACTGGCAGTCCAAGCTCGGCGAGCTGCGGAGCGAGGGCGACGCGCTCCGCTGGGAGGCCAAGGAGTCGGCGCGCGCGGCCAAGGAGGGCGAGGCGGCGCTGCGGCTCGAGTACGCGTCGAAGCTGCGCGACGCCGCCGAGGACGCCGAGCGGAGCCGGCGGGACCTGCAGCAGGCCCTCGAGGACGGCGGCCGGCGCCGCGACGCGGAGGTCCAGGTGCAGACCGAGAAGCACGACTCGCTCGTGCGGGCCGCGGACCAGCGCGCGGACGCGGCCGCGAAGCGCTGCGCGCGGGCCCTCGAGCTCAAGGGCGAGGCCGAGCGCGCCGCCGAGGCGTCGGCGAGCCGCTGCCGCGAGCTCGAGCAGCAGCTCCAGCGCGAGCGCTGGGAGCGCGACGACGACGGCCGGAGGTCCGCCGCGCGCGAGAAGGAGCTCGAGGAGCGCTTCGAGGCGCTGCGGTGCGGCGCGGCGCGCGCCGACGCCGACGCGCGCGACCGGCTCATGGAGCTGTCCGCGCGGTCGGAGAAGGCCGAGGCGGCCGCGCGCGACGCGTCGGCCGCGCGCGACGCCGACGGCCTCGCGGCGACCAAGGCGCTGGAGACGGCGCTGGCAGCGCGGGACGCCGAGGCGTCGCGCGTGCGCGACGAGTCCGTGAAGCACGCCGTCGCCCTGGAGCAGAAGAAGCTCGGGAGGGCGCACTTCGAGGACTTGGAGCGCCGCCGCGAGGCCTACGACAACTCGCTCGACCTCGCGCTCGAGGACGCGCGGTCCGCGGCGCGCCTCGAGCACGAGGCCGTCCTCCGGGACCACGCGCGGGAGCTCGAGGCGCTCCGGGGCCGCCTCGAGGGCGCCGAGGCGCGCGGCGCCGCGCTCGCGGAGGATCTGGACGCGCTCACGCGGCGGAAGCGCGACGACGACGCGGCGGCGAACCTGCGCTTCGACGAGGCGGCCAAGGACGCGGCGGCGCGCTACCGCGACCTCGAGCGGCGCCACGAGACCGACGTCGCGCGCGCGAAGGACGAGATCCCCGAGGACGCGCAGGACGCGTTCCTGCGGTCCGAGCTCGAGCTCAAGGCCGAGCTGTCCCGCGCGCGGACGAAGCAGGACGTCGAGGACCGCGCGCGCGTCGCCGAGCGCGACCTGGCGCTGGCGACGTCCCTGCTGAAGACGCGCGACGCGGAGCTCGAGGAGGCGAAGACGGTGCTCGACCGCGAGCGCGCGCGCCACGCGCGGGCCCTCGACGTCGCGGCCCACCCGCGGCCGGGCCGCGCGCGCGTCGCGGGCGACGACGAACCGTCCGGCGGCGACGACCTGCAGGCGCGCGTCGCCGCGGCGATCGACGCCATCGGCGCCGCGCCGTCGAGCCCGCTCTTCAGCGACGACGCGGGCGGCGCGTCGCCCTTCCTCCAGGGTCTGGGCTCCGTCGAGAGCCGCTTCTCCGGCGGCGGCGGCGGCGCGTCGTCGGCGACGGAGGCGCGCCAGCGCGAGATCATCGCGACCATGCGCGGCGACCTCGAGCAGATCCGGAACGACGCCGCGCGCGACGCGCGGCTCCGCGACGAGGAGGTCGCCGTGCTCAAGGAGCGCGAGAGGCAGAACGACGCGGCGCGCAAGGACGCGGCCATCGCCGTCGCGCGGCGCGTCGAGTCCCTCGAGCGCGACATCGGCAAGCGCGACCGCGACCTCAAGCAGGTCCGCGGCGAGAAGCGCGCGCTCGAGGAGGCCCTCGCGAAGCTCAAGGCCCAGCTCCGCGCGGCGGCCGCGTCGCCCCGGGGGGGCATCTCCGACGACAAGGCGCGCCAGCTCGCGCTGGCCGTGCGCAAGCTCACGCAGCGCAACGCGGAGCTCCAGTCGGAGCTCGCGCTCGCGAAGGCGCGCGCGGAGCCCGCGCGGCGGCCGCCGGCGCCGGACGACGACGACGACGACGTCGCCGCGTCGGCGAGCGCCCGCGAGCTCGCGAGCCTCAAGGCCCAGCTCGCCGCGCGCGACGCGCCGCGGCGGCCCGCCGCGCCGAAGCCCCGCGCGAAGGCGAGCCAGGCCAAGGCCGCGTCGAAGCTCGCCAAGCCGAAGATCCGCAACTACAACGACCGCGACTGATAAGTTTCGTCGGGCCTAGACCGCCTGCGCGACGGCGCTCCGGAGCCGCGCGGCGTCCGCGGCCGGGATGCCCACGTCGACGTAGTCCTGGAGCTCGAGGAACGCCATGTCCTCGATGCAGTGGATCTCCTCGTCCGCGAGCGCGATGAGGTAGCGCGCCATGCCCAGGCCGGCGAGGAACGACGCGAGCCGGTCCAGCGGCGACTCGTCGGGCCGCTTCGGCGGCGGCGCGCGCGGCGGCGGCGAAAAGGAGGAGAAGCCCGCGGGCGCGGCCGGGAGCGGGCCGGGCGCGGGCTCCGGAGCGTCGCGGAGGCCCAGGGCCCGCGCGTGCACCGGCGGCGGCGCGATGGGCGGCGGCGGCGCGCGCGCGACCGGCGGCGCCGCGGGCGCGGACCCGAGGTGCTCGGGCGCCGCTCGGAGAGCCGCGGCGCGGTCGTGCGGCGGCGGCGGCGGCGGCGGCGCGGCCCCGCCGCGCGACCGCCACTGGGGCTCCTCGGCCTTGCGCGGCGCGTCGCGCACGGGCGCCGGCGGCGCCGCGCGCTCGGCCGGCGGCGGCGGCGGCGGCGGCGGCGCGGGCGGCGGCGCGGGGGCGGCCTTGGCGCCGTTTTCCCAGTCGGCCTTGAGCGCGGAGACGATCCACGCGTCGGCGTTCTTCAGGCCGTCGAGGTTGCAGGCCTTGATCATGGACCGCGTCTCGCGGGCCGCGCTCCGCAGCATCCAGGCCGTCGACGGCTGGAGCTTGTGCCGCCGCACGAGCTCCTCCAACTCCGCGTCGTCGTACCGCGGCGGCCCCCCGAGGCTCTTCATGAAGCCGAGCGTGTGGATGACCCAGCCCGACGGGTTCTTCACGCCGCGCAGGTCCGACGCCAGGACCGCGTCGCGCGCGCTCGGCGCGCAGCGCTCGAGGTCTTTCGCCGCGCCGTGGTCGAGCTTGTAGTCGCGGATGAACTGCGACAGCGGCATGACCGCGGGTTTGGCGGGCCTCGTCGCGTTCGTCGGGGCCTTCGGCGCCTCCTGCTTCTTCTTGCGCGACGGCGCCGTGGTCCAGCCGCCCTCCGACGCCGACATCGTGGCGCTCTATTTGTATTCGATGGCTTTGGCGAGCCTTTGTTGAATATTCAAGTTGCAGAGTATTGCACTTTTCAGAAGTCGACTTCGTCGAGCGCTCCTGGGCAGCAGCAGCGAAGTGATGTTAGATCAAAGTGCGCGATCCCTCCGCGCCGCCCGGTCCTCGGGGAGGGGCCTGCCCTCCCCGGGATCCGGGAGCTCGAGTGGACGCGCGGTGTGGTGTGCGTCTACGAATTGGTATGTTGTCACTCGAGGAGGAGCTCCGACGAGGCGCGCTCGTCGTTCATGGCGTCGTCCCACGAGCGGCTCGACGGGAGGTGGGGCACGATGGGCGGCTGGAAGGCCTCGGCGAGCTCCGGCTCGTCCGTCTCGAACCAGCCCCAGTTCTCGTCGTCGTCGTCGTCGTCGTCGGAGTCGTCGCCGACGATGGGCGGGCGGAAGGGCCCGCCCCGGCGGTGGCGGTGGCCGAGGTGGTCCTCGCGGAGCTCGCCGAGGGCCGCGCGCGACGCGCCGGCCTCGGGCCGCCGCGTCCACGTCGCCGCCACGAACGCGCTGAGGTTCAGCTGGCCGTGGCCCGGCACGGCCGCCTCGCCGCGCCACTCCCAGGAGCACGTCGGCGTGCCGGGCGCGCCCCGGCGCGGGCGCCCCGGCCGGTTCTTGGTCGACGCGGGCTGCACGAAGAGGGAGTTCACGCAGATCGTCGAACCGCAGCCGTTGGAGTAGCAGCAGCGGCCGTTCTCGTCGCGCGCGCCCGTCTGGATGCAGCACCGCGGCGCCTTCCGCGACCCGGACCGCGGCGGGCCCATGGGGAACGCCGCCGGACCGCGTGTTCCGCCGCTTTGCCGATTTTCACGCGGCAGAGGGCACCGAAGTATCATCATTCCTGCATTGTTCAATCATTGATCCGCGGATGAGTCAGCTGCTGTGGGTCGCGCAACCCTTTGTCCGAGAAAATAGATGATGAACGCTGAAGAGATATTGAATGTCCAACATCTTGCTTCCTTCGTTATTGCCGTCGCAGCGCGATTAGGTCTTGCGGGATGGGCGCGTCTAAAGCAGCCCTGTTCGGGGTTTGGAGGTCGGTCCCACCTCGTGGGACCACGACCGTCGCCTGCGCACACATGTCGAATGTGTGAGTGTTGCGCTCTCACGAGGTGGGACCAACATCGTCACGTCGCGCGGGGGCAGCCTCGCCCCTCGGACCACCTGATCCGGTGCCGGTGGGTCGCGAGGTCGGTCCCACCTCGTGGGACCGTCACGGAACCGTTCTCCATCGGGCGAGGGATGGGTCCGCGGCGGCGTTCTTCCCCACGGGGTGTTGTCGCTGCGCATGTGTGACGCCAGTCGACGGGATGCGCCGCGGCGTCCGAGCCTGACCAGGAGAGTTCGACGTTGTCGAAGCTCTGCAACGAGCCCTTGCGATCGGACGCAACGGGGCTATTGATGAACGATTCCCGACGCTGCGAGGGCTCTGAAACTAGCTTTATGGGGTCGCGAGGGGGCTGCGCGTCGCTTCCGAGCCATTGATCCCCCCCGTTGAGTCGC